AGGCTCGTGGGCTCTGTTCGGCCAGCAGCTCGTTTAGCGAGTCGGTCTGCTCGGCTCGTGCTCGGGCTCATTTTTGCAGAGTCGATTAGCCACTCGACTCAGTTGCCACCTCTACATATGACTTTCAAAGCTTAAGAGCATCTCTAAAAGACTATTTATTTATAAAGAGTATCTTATACATTATAGAGAGTATCTATATATTTAAATAGTAAAAAAATTTATGTACTCCAATAACGCTATCTATTTTAGTTCTTCATTATGATTTTTTTTTTTCAAGAAACATTTATTGATTTATTCTCATATTTTATTTAACACAATTTTTTATATGTCAATTAACAATAAATTTAAACGCAAATATTGTATATTAAGAATATAAAAGTCTGTTTGGTTCTCTAAATTTGAAAAACAAAATCCACCCTCTATTTTAAAAATAAAATAAAATAGAGAGTTCGTGAATTAGAAATTCCATTTGAGTAAGAGTATATTTAGGTGTGTGTCTTCTTGCAAAAGGAATATGTAATCTTAATAAACACACTAAAGCAAGGTATCTTCTATCATTGAAGCGTCAAATTTCTTCTTTGTTTTTCATACGCCACAACCATGTAATTTATTGTTTGGGAAATTTACAGATCGGGTCCTCAATTTATTAGAATGTAGCAAATTTGTTTCCAACTTATTTTTTCCCCCTTTTTTAGTGTGGCAATTCCCAACCTTGCACTTCAGTCCTCAATAGACGGTTAATCCTTTACTTTAAGGCTAAATATATGCACGCCAAAGTTTTTAATAACTAGATTACATTTTAATTTTATGAAAAGTTCACGATGTTTATACATTATTACATTTATCAAACTTTTTCCATATCATTATTATTCTCAAATTAATATAAATGGTTCTTGATTATGGTTTCTCTCCAAAGCTTTCTTTATGATAGAGTAAAAAGACTCATTTATCTATTGTATTTTTAAATAAACAAAACAAATAATACTGCAAAAATGATATTAAATATTTGACTCTGATTTTTAAGCATGTTACAATATTTTTGGACGAAAACCATGATTTAAGGACAATATTTTCTTGTTAATAAAATGTAAAAAATAAGAATGTGATGAATAAAAAGAGTTAAAGATAAAAGTGTGATAATGAAAAAAAAAAAGGTTAATGATCTTTAATGTAATTAAAATGTAGTGTTTTTACAAAAAATAAAAAAAATAAATAATAAATAATAACGTGGTGTGAATATAACCACCATTTGATTAAAATGTCAACTTTTATGTTTGGTTCTCTAAATTTGAAAAACAAAATCCACCCTCTATTTTAAAAATAAAATAAAATAGAGAGTTCGTGAATTAGAAATTCCATTTGAGTAAGAGTATATTTAGGTGTGTTTCTTCTTGCAAAAGGAATATGTAATCTTAATAAACACACTGAAGCAAGGTATCTTCTATCATTGAAGCGTCAAATTTCTTCTTTGTTTTTCATACGCCACAACCATGTAATTTATTGTTTGGGAAATTTACAGATAGGGTCCTCAATTTATTAGAATATAGCAAATTTGTTTCCAACTTATTTTTTCCCCCTTTTTTAGTGTGGCAATTCCCAACCTTGCACTTTAGTCCTCAATAGACGGTTAATCCTTTACTTTAAGGCTAAATATATGCACGCCAAAGTTTTTAATAACTAGATTACATTTTAATTTTATGAAAAGTTCATGATCTTTATACATTATTACAATTATCAAACTTTTTCCATATCATTATTATTCTCAAATTAATATAAATTGTTCTTGATTATGGTTTCTCTCCAAAGCTTTCATTATGATAAGAGTAAAAAGACTCATTTATCTATTGTATTTTTAAATAAACAAAACAAATAATACTGCAAAAATGCTATTAAATATTTGACTCTGATTTTAAAGCATGTTACAATATTTTTAGACGAAAATCATGATTAAGGACAATATTTTCTTGTTAATAAAACGTTAAAAATAAGAATGTGATGAATAAAAAAAATTAAAGATATAAGTGTGATAATGAAAAAAAAAGGTTAATGATCTTTAATGTAATTAAAATGTAGTGTTTTTACAAAAAAAAATAAAAATAAATAATAACGTGGTGTGAATATAACCACCATTTGATTAAAATGTCAACTTTTTAAAAAAAAAAAAAAAGAAGAAGAAGACAAATTTACCTTTATATTTAATTGATCAAAACATAAAAAGGAAATAAAAGAAAACACAAAGTTGTATGATCACCTTTTTATTAGTTTTACTTAGGGTCTGTTTGAGCCACATTATTTTGGAAGAATGTATTTTGAAATAGTAGATTGATAGAGAATGTGTGGTTGAAAAAGAAAGAAAAGTTATTGACGTAATGAAAAATATTATTTTATTGAACAATGTGTGATTAAAAATGAGTAAAAGAATGATAATGAAAATTTTAATGTGACTCAAACATTGGCTTAATTAAAGATAAGATTAAAACCACCTTTAAACAAAAATAAGGTAAAATCTTGCTAGAGGCCCCAATTTTTTGGAGAACGTTATCATGTGTCACAAATCACATGCGATGGACATTTTCCGCCATAGTATTATGAGTTCAATAACTTGGATGGTATAACTGAAATGTTAGGGAACATGAGTGCTACACTTATTAAAAAGGTTGGAATCCTAAGAAGAATTTTCCCTAGAAATAAGGGTAAAATTGTGAAGTAGGAACTCTGAACCATGTTTGAACCCCGTTTTTGTGAGAAAATGTATTTTAGAATAATAATTTTTTTAGAATGTGTGGTTAAAAAATAAAGAAAAGTTTTCAATTTATATATGTAAAATTATTTTATAGGAGAATTTGTGATTAAAAATAAGTTCTTTAAAAAAAAAGAGTTTTTGAAAAAATAGGGGTTAAATATAGGGTAAGTGTTACCAAAGAAATGCTCCAAGGACTTTGGATTAGATTGAGGACTCAGATGTTACATTGTCAATAGTTTAGTGACCTCCAGTTTAGTGACCTCCATTGTAATCTTTCTTTTGACTTCGAGTAATCTTAGATCTCACGTCACGTGACTCCACTGCTCCTATTAATCTCCATACTTCTCGCATTTCTTTACCCCTGCCCTACCGCCACCCTTCTCTCTCTCTCCCTCTCTGTCTCTATGACAATGGCGACGTCAGTAGCAGCGGGAGTTCATGGAAATGCCACAATAGTCTCATCACAATCTGTAAATACATCAAGAAAGCTTTCTCACTTGTCATCTCTTCAATTTCCTACTCAACTTCGGAGTTTTACGTTTCGAAACCAAACCTTCAAATCCAAGCCAACGCTTCATCTGGTAATTATTATTATTATTATTATTATTTATCAAATTTGTGAGAAGGGGAATAAATTATCAACATTTTGGTGATGTTTTGATTTTGGTCTGTATAGTTTGAATTGAATGCTGATTATGATTTACGGAACGGGAAAAGTAAATTGAGAAAATGGAGCAATTCCGTAAATTGCGAAATCAAGTATAAAATATTAAAATTGTGAATCTAATAATTCCTTGTTTATATTAGAATTTCATGTCTTAGACAGTAGATTCCGATTTCTCCATATTCATTCTTTTATGTACGTTTTTTGAGCTAGGATTTAGAACAGCAGTGGACTACGACGAGACTTTCAGTCTCAGAAATAGTAATTTTTCCTTACTTGAGCTTCCTCTGTATCATACTTTGATCAATTTCGTATTTTAAGTCTAATTAATGTTTTTATGATCAGGTTGAAGCGAAACAACAAACTTTAACTTCTTTTGTTGATGTGTTAGAGAATTCAGATAAACCAGTATTGGTTGACTTCTTTGCTACTTGGTAAGGTCTCTTTTATTTATACGACTCCCATTCCTAGCCTTTACAAATGAGAAGCAGTATTGTGCTCATTATCTTATGTGTCATTGAAGTGGTTATCTCCTTAGTCGCTTAGGCTGTTTCAATAAAGTTATGAGTTAATTATAATTTCATGTTTGGCTATGCTTTGCTTTAAGTAACTTGTCACTGAACATATTGGATAATACTTTTATTTGAAAGTAACTTTTATTTTACTAACTTTGACCAAATTATATATTTTAGAAGTAACATATTTACTTCCAAGTGAACTTTTTAGGCTAGCCAAACATGCATCTTACGTAATCTGGCCATTGCATTTCGTAGGTGTGGTCCTTGCCAATACATGGTTCCTATTCTGGAACAAGTCAGTGCTTTGATGAAGGACAAGATCCAAATATTGAAAATTGATACAGAGGAGAATCACAGCATTGCACAAGAGTATGGGATAGAGGCTTTGCCAACTTTCATTTTGTTCAAGGACGGGAAACCATTCGACCGCTTTGTAAGTAATTATGGAACTTTTTCAAAAGTTAGTTCAATATTTTGAAGCACTTCTATCGAAACATTATCTTGCAAGCAAGAGATTGAACCCCTAATACTCCTGCTAGGGTGATGTGTCTGTCTATCATCTCATCCGACACCAATCTTGAACGAATCCAGTATGCGGAGTCCTATATATATTATAAATTTTAAAATCTGTGACATTTGAGGAACACTTCCTTGGACATGCCTCAAGAAGAGGTCCAACTCACCATGTGCAGTGTCCTATATTGTTATATTCTTAATATTTCTAATACACGAGGAACATGAACTTAACTAAACTAAAAGTCCTAATTTGTAAAAATTGGAGTATGAAATTAGGGAATTTTAATTATTGGTATATTCTTGTTTATAAAAATTAAAAGAATGTTCATGTCAATTTGGTTATGTTATATAACTAGTTTATGCATTTTTCTTTTCTAGCAGTAATTATATATAGCTTACCACAAAGTTATGTTAGTACCACCGCTAAATCAAAGCTAAACAAACTAATGATTTTTGGACAAGTAAAAATGTATAAAAATAAAGAAATAATATGTAAGTATAAAATTTAAAGAATTCAAATGACTGTCCTCTAGGTGTGTCTACATGCCTGTGCTTCTTAGGCAAGAGAAACCTATAACGTGGCTTTTGAGTAGATGTAATAGATATCCTATAAAGAGTTGAAATAATTTTATTTTCTCCCATGATTTATACTCTATAAAAGGGGAGATGGCCATTTTCTTAAAACTTTTATTATGGCATTTGAGTTCATGTAATAGAAACACAAGTTCATGACTTCTGCTATCTGGAATTAAGTGCCTCGACTCCAGATTTCTCTCTTTTAACATTTTATCGTTCTGACGTGTAATTTCAATGCTAAAAAATATCACCCTCGTTACTAGTGTATGCTTCATGCCCTAAAACTTTCGGACTATACCAAGTATGTAGATATCCTAGTCCATGCATGCCCCTTGGTCAAATGAAGTGATTAAAAAGTGATGAAGGTATGTGTGTATTGTGTTCGTCGTAATGATTAATGAGAGATCTCATGAAACCAAAACTGTTGTGCCATTTTTGGGAGGGGGAAAATTGGATACTATTAGACTGTTTTAAGGAAAAAAAAGCTAAAATCTTGTTCATTATAATGTCTTACTTTTGTCGAGGACTGCATACAAAACACACAAGCATGTTTATTGTTCACGGCAAACTTTATATGGCATCATCACATATTTTTGGTTCGGATAGCAAGTTTTGCATCATGATTTTGTGTGATTAGTTTTTTATGCCAATTTTGTTGATGGATTAATGACCAATTCTTCTCCTTATATCACTCAATTTTCAGGAAGGTGCACTGGCTGCCGAGAAGCTCATCCAACGTATTGAGACCTCACTAAAAGTCGAGCATTAGTTGCAGTATGCCTCCCAATTTGATGTGATTTAACAATGCAAAAGATCAGATAGGATGATAATCACCGTCTTAATAAGTTGATGTTGTTGTGTCTCGAAATGTGGCAAGTATAGTCGTTTCATTTCACCAATGTATAAATCAGATGGAAAAATTGAGTTAAAAGGGTCTTATCTGCTACAGATCATTATATTGTTTGAATTTATAATGCAAATATGATGAAAATGAAATGATTTTTATAATTTGCAGAAAAAATTTCAAGTTAGAATTACTTCTGACATGCACAATACATTACTCAGTGTTTTTTCATTAACTCCCTTGAATCAATCTGAATATAGCACTGCACCCTGTTAAAAGCACTGTTAGTCACCCAAATTATGGTGTGTTACTTTGTAGTGAACTTTTTTTTGGTTCCAAGTTTGTCACCTAACTTTAGTTTCTTTTTAGGCACTTTATCCTGCTAAATTAACCTAATACTAATGTTGCTAGTACATTATTTTCATTGCCCATCTAGGCTAAAACGTGGATCATAGGATAAGTTGTGCTTTTCTATTAAAAAAAGCATAATAAAAATAAGAAAGGACAAATTGTCCAACAATACTTGGTTTTGTTAGTTGGACAATTGAAAAGTACTATGATTTTAAGGGTTTTCTTTTTCTCTTACAATAAGCATGTGAAGTTACTCCAAAGACATGGAAGCGAAGAGCAAAAATGACAAAAAAGCACTGATACTCACCTGAAACCTGTTTACATAGCATCGAAAAACTAGTTATTTGATAATTAAACTGAAAAAGGAAAATATCACAACCTCATTTTCTTTGCCTTCTACTACTATTTTTGTGGGAAAAAAAACATATTTACTTTTAATTTTAAGCAAGAATCATCCAATTTTGTTGCAATTGGAAGGTAACATTTATGTTGAAAGACAGATGTCATGTGGTGTCAAAATTATGGTGTGCTTTTCAACTCCAGGGGTCCCGTCCATACATCGTAAAAGGAGGTCTACATGGAGGAGAACCGCTTCTTGAATGTTCGGCTCGAGTATGTATAAGCTATAACCTCATCCAAATTTACCTGAGTGACAAACCAGTGGAGAAAAAAAAAAGAACAATGTATTAAATAACAAAAATAGCCCATTTTAGAAAGAAAGAATTTTGTAATTGTGATTTTTGAATACTGTGTGATTAAAAAAAGGGAAAAGATTTTGAGCATATACGTAAAATTATTTTATTTAAAAAATGTATGATTGGAAATGATTTTTTTTAAAAAAATGAACTTCTATATAATGGGGCGCAAACATGGGAATAACATTTTTATTTTAATGGGCCATATTTTTAAATTTTAAAACAATAAGGTTAGGTCAGTTCAATTCTTTTAAATGATTTGGTTTTGAGTTAAGGATCAATAACCAAGTCACACACAATAAATTCTTAATTCTAGTACTCATTATCCGATTTAAACATAAGAAAATCGATTTAATTCAATACTTTTGTCCACTTCTAAATATTGGATTGGTCAAGTTGAAATGTACTTAGAACATTTTCAAAAGATTCTCTATTTTCAAATATCGTATTTTGTAATTTAGAGAGTATTTATAAATTTAGAATAAAAAATTTTAAGCACTCCAACAGATTTTTTATTTTTGACACTTAATTTTATCATTCCCAAAAAATATTTATTATTTTTTCCATATCTTTTATTTTGCATTAGTTTCCCTCCAAATTATTATTATTTTTAATTTCACACAGATTCAGGAAATGTAATTAATATAGTAGAAAACATAAACTTTTCTTATATTTTTTTCTAATATACCCCTACATTAAATAATGATTTAAATGGAAGTAGTTCATATTTGTTGGTAACATGACAAATTAAATAGGGACATATTAAAAAAAAATACCATCTATACTTTTAACAAGGAAAGTGACATATAATTTAAACAACATCTTAGAGATACTCTTATAGCTTAAGTACTGAAATCGAGACAAAGTGAAATTAAGTAACTAAAATGAAACTTCCTTATAAGTTGAGGGACCATCAATGCGTGTTACTGTTTTGTTACTTTCCTGCTTCTGCCCCTCGCCGCGGCCCTCCACAAATCCGCACAATCAACCCACTACGCCGCCTGTTTCTCCCCTCTGTCACCCTAACCATTTCACCTTCTTATTCCGCCCGTCTCCCAAATTTTCCAGTGTCCCCGATGGTATGCCCACTCTTCTCTACTGTTCACCTCGGTGCTTTTTGATTATTCGCTTCACTTCTCCTCAGCGAAAGGTCAACTTCTTTCCCTTATCCACCAAATGCCTTCCTCCATGTGGGCTGACTCCGCCTCTCCCTCCGCCTTTTTTACAAATTCGAAAAACCCACCCACAATACCAAAGTAGAGAGGGATTTGCAATGAATCTCAGGTTTAGAGGACAATGATAAAGGATTAATGTTTGAAGAGAATAACCCTATTCCATTTCAAGAAACTGAGAATATCGAAGGCTCAGAATTGAATCTCAAGAAAAAAGAACAGCCTAATATACATAAGGAAAATCAGAATCAAGATGATGGTGCTATGGAGAGAATTGCAGGTCTGAAAACCAACCGCCAAGGATTGATATTTCAAGAAAATAAGAATGGCAATGGGGATGATCCAAATGAAAATGTGGAGAATCGCAGGGAGGGAGCAAAGCTGATAGCAATGGTTATTGATCAATAAATTATAAGCGATAAATATGAAATTATAGTGCAATTTCAATGAAAAAAAACTTAACAATAGAAGTTTATATCTATCTTCTAGTATAATATCTTTTCCATTGCACATGGAGAAATCTTCAGCCGTTTGTCATTATGTTTTGGCCTCGTTGAAAAGTTTTTATGGAGGCTCGCATAATCTCATTTCTTGGATTAATCATAGTTGTTCTCCCAATGCTTGTTAACTTTTTCCAAAGAGGCCAGATGTGGTTGATAATTTCTCCATTAGCAATGAAAAATGGAAATAGATTACACTAGAAGATATATATAGGCTCTGTCTGTTAGCGATTTTCCATGGATTTTCAGCAGAAAAAAGATCGTTGGTGGGGCCCGGCTGAGAGAGTGGCAGTCAATAAGTGCGGCCCAACGGTAAGAATTTGGATGAAAATCTGGCCAAAAAGTTTGGTCAGACAGGCTCATAAACTTCTATTATCAGGTTTTTTTTTTCCCCTTGAAATTACACTATAATTTCATGTTTCTCGCATATAGTTCTACTAATCTTGGATATTATTTTATGGGTAATGTAGGGAGAGAAGCATATGGTCTGAGAGTAATAGTTTGGAGTATAAAAGCTATTAGCAAAGGAGAGAACGTGAAAATTTCATACATGGAGAGAGAGAGAGAGAGAGAGAGGTTTGGTCCCTAAACTCCACCACCGAAAATTCGTCATACACCATCAATTTCAAAGCGTTGAGAGCTTAGAAATGCCATTACTTGGAACAAAATGAGAGCTTCTGGAACAATATCAATGACCAAAGGTATGAACTCGATCTATGAGTTTTCAATTATTCGATTCAATTTGTTTCTGTATAATTGTTTTAGATCGATTTTTCGTCTAACATTTGGTATCGGAGCACCTTATCACCTATGCCTTGGTGTTTCACCAACAATCTACAGAACTCTGTTTTTTGATTGATTTTTTTTTTTTTAAAATAAATTCAGATTTCTCCATAAAATCACATTTCTAGACTTCGCATGTTTTTAAACTTGAAATTTTCACTGAGGAATGTTGAATATTGAAGTGGGCGACAACGGTTTTTCAAAGGACTATCCTTACAAAAAATTGGGTATATAATAGGGAAAATTACATAAAATCAGGCATTTGAGTTTTCAAATTAAAAAATCAGATCTAAGATTTATTTAATAAAAAATCAGGTATTAATTGAATTAATAATTAAAATCCTAATTAAACTTAAATTCAACAGCCCGTCTCACTCCTCTCCCCCTCCCTGTCTCACTCATCTCCCCCTCCAAACTCACTCATCTTCTCCTTTCTCTCAATAGTAGCGGCGGCGCCCTGGAAGAGAACCGCCTGCACGACGGCATCACCACGCTGTGAGCAACTTCTGTGAGTGTCATGTGCAGTGGTGATGACGCTCCAATGGCGGCTCTCATCTTCACGCACGCTGGCGCTATGTTCGCTCGAATCTAAGTCGACTAGCTAGCGATTCTGATCCCAAAATCGCGATGGTGGTGGTTGAGAATGGCTTTTGATTTTCGATCAACCTTCTCTATCTCTCCTCTCTCTTCGACACCACCGCAATTTTGGTTGTTGTGGTGGTGCAAGCGCCGCGTTTTGGTTGTGGTGGTGTTGCAGGCGCCAGGTTTTTTTGTTGTGTTGGTGGTGGTGCAGGCGGCGTCGATTTTTGTTGGTGGTGCAGGCGGCGATGGTGGACTTGCAGGCGGCGATGGTGGTAGGTTCTGCAGGGGCAGGTGGTGATGGCGTGTTTTGTTGTTGTGGCGGTGACAGTGATTGTGATGGTGTTGTGGCGGGGTGACGGCATTGGTGGTTTTTTAGGTGGTGTGGTGCAGGCGGCGGCAATAATGGTTGGGATGGTGTCATGGGGAGGGCGACGGAGGTGGTTTTTTTTGTAGGTGGGGCGGTGTAGGCGGCGATGGTGGTGATCGTTTTTGTTGTTATTGGCGGTGGTTGTGGTTGTGGTAGTATGTGGCGGTGGCAGGGGCGTGGTGGGATAGTGTTTGTGACCAATTATTTGGTTGATCTGTGACCAAGTAGTGGTGGATCGGGACGGGGTGGGGTGTTTGGTGTATGTGACCAACTATTTGGTTCAGTGTGACTAATAATTATTAAACTATGACCTTAAAATTCGATAATTTGTGACCAAACAACAACGTGACCATGAAATTTGAAAATATGTGACCGATATATAAATTGCGACCCATAATGTTTTGATCCGTGACCAATGAAGTAAACTGTTACCTATAAATTTTTTTGATTTGTGATCTCGAAATAATCTGTGATC